ACTCACAGCTGGTAAATAGAAAATACAGTAATGCACGTATTTAATATTTATGTTTATCAAGCAATTATTAATATTATAAGTTTAAGCATTGCAGACTAAAATATTTGCAATATTTTAATCGTTAATTAATAATATCTCAACGCATTCTTTAGATAACAAAGCGAAGATATTGATATTTTGCGCACAGTTGAAAGTGGGTTAAATATAGTAGAAGCATGTTATATATATATATCTAGTATAGATATATATTACTATATATATCTAGTATTATACTAGCTGGTATATTCCGGTCTTGCCCGGTCCAAGCTCTGTCACTTTTTCGTGACAAACACTTTTATATATATACATATATATAGATTGTGTTATAAAAGATTAAGATATATAATATGAGTATACATATCAAATACTATATTATCTCTAGTGCAATACTTTATCACATAAACTGATGATATACATACAGATACATATGTATCTTATACTAGTTTTTTCATATACTATAGAGTATTTGCTGCCTGCTATGTTCCTGCATGTTTTTAATTAATTTGTATACCCTTGTAGAGTCTATTATAATTTTGTTATGAAATGTGTAACGCATAGAAGGAGACATCTCCGACCCCTTAAAATATATATATTCTCGATCTTTTCGTCTGTTTCTATGCGAACTAGTCTCTCAGTTTTAAATCGTCTTGAAACTTAGCATAGGTCCGTCTTTCTGTTGCAGTCAGTTAATATGTCGGAACCTGCCGGATCGGACCACTATATCATATATCTGCCATAGGAAGCCAAATCTTATTATTATCGCACTACTATGTTCATAGCTCTAATGGACGAAATGTTCGAGAAATGAGACAATGATTCATCCTTATTCTAAGAAAAAACTTAATTGTATTCATTCGAAATGCCTAAAAGACACGTCTAGTCGTAAATAATCACATAGCTTGAAGCAATTTTCATTTCCGTAAACTTGTAATTAAGTCGCGTGCATCTCTTCTCTCTTTGGCCAACAGTAAATATTCGTATATAACGAACCAGGCATTTGATTATGGTCAATTGGCACTTTTGTCTGGCGCTAATTGGTTGTCAAAAGCGGTGCGAATTATGCTGTGTTCGCGTGTCTCTGCTATTTTTGGCATGCCACGCCCACAAGCACAAATGGGGGGTCGTAGTGAAAAGGGGGGAGGTGGGGTTAGGGGCAGGGTATTGAACTCGGCAAACTGTCAACTGAAATTTGTCTGCCTTTGACATTGATGCCAATAGCAAACTTTGATTTTGATGTGAAGTAAGGGTTTGTGTGTGTGTGTGTCTCTCTCTCTCTGTGTGTGTGTGTGTGTGTGTGTCTCACTCATTAATGCAACAAGCAGCAGCGACAACAACGACAACTGCAATTGAAGCATCTGCTCAAAGTTTGCATCGCCTTTTGCAGTCTTAATTAAATAAGTTTCTCGTTGCTGCAACTTCTTCCACTTGCAGCGAGCGAGTTGCAACTCATTTCGCTTGTTTGCCATTTATTTGCACAACAACAACAACAGAAGAAGAAGAATAGAAAAACAACAACAAACTTTTGTGCATCTCAAACAACTTTAATGGGCTTTTAAAAACAACGACTACAACTGCCAGCCCCATTTAATGTAATGCCAAATGCAATTGTTGAAACTCGAAATTTGGCGTCTGGCTTCTAAATGGCGGCTTTAAAACAATTTGTCAGATGCACAAAACTATTCGCCTGGCGCCATTTTCTCTACTTGCATATTGCATTCGATGCCAGCCCCAAAAACAACAACAAGCACAGTGCCTGCAATTTGTATGCAACCGGGCGCGTTGTCAGCGCTCACATTCGTGCACTTACCCAGGCCCAAGGATCATAATCTGTTTTCAAGCACTTACATGGCAAAGCCTCAAATTGCAGTTGTTTTTAGTGAGTTGTGCTCGTTAATACTAATACTCGTTGCCCATTAAAAATGCATAAATTCGGGTATAACAAAAGCTGTTCGAATAGATGTTACCCACTTTTATCTGTTGTTCTTCAGATCAAGTATTCTATATTTCCAATTTGTTTCATTGGGCTTCTTTAATGTAAATTAGGCTTCACTTATTTAAATCCTCATTTTGCCACAATTTAGTTTTTTCGCTCTAAAATGTAGATCGCCTCTCTATGCGATTTTCATTAGCACAAGAAATGCTTATATGATTTTGGTATTATAATGAAAGTATAATGTATCGAACAGTATTCTCTATTCTTTTCTCTTTGTTTCTTTTTGTAATTCGCTTCTCTCTCTCTCTCGTCACCCGCATTCTCATTCATCTTTCTCACTCCTGTTCTCTCGCTTTCTTTTTTCCCTTAAGCCTTATTCTCTCTCCCTCAGCCTGTACGTCCTCATCTCTCATTCACACTAGATTATAGCCTCTCTATGCGATTTTCATGATTTCAAGTAGGACTTGCATATTTTAATGATTTTTTTGGTGAAGTTTATATAGTTTACAAGTGGACCTTTGTGTTATTCGAGATGAATATCTATATGAATTCGAGTACTTTTTTTTTGTATTGAGTCAATTCCGAGCTGGGTACAGCATATCGCCTAGTCGAGCACTCTCGACTAGAGAACACTCTTATTTGTTGGGCTGGCTTATGTTTTTGAATGCTAGTTTTAAAGTCAACAACAACAGCAACAAGAGCTTATGGTTATGAGAGTGTGCCTTTAATTGAGTTGAAGTGCCGGGTTTTACACACATTTGTGTGTATGCGTGTGCATCTATGTACATCTATATATATGAATTTTTGCCATAAATTGCTTTGCTCGACTTGTCTGCATTGTTGTTATACCAAATTGCTTTTGACAACAACAACAGACGCTACAATAACAGTGGGCTATAGATATGGCGAGACACTGAAGAGATACTTATCCAATGATTTAGTACTGGAAAAAAATATGTATATTCTACAGAAAATATTTGTATATATTTAATTGCTGGTGTCGGCTGTTGGCCCCCAGTTCAATGAATGGGTGGGGGCCGGCCAGCCAAGGTGCCAGTCTGTCGATGGCCAAACGGGTCTGCCGCGGGGCCGTGCAGCATCATGTGGCATCATTCTCATCAATGTCAGCTTTTGGTGGTCATATTTAAAGTGGCAGAGTTTGATAAATGACTTTTCAAGTGCCAATTTCCTGGCCCAAACTTGTATGGAATGCAGTTGAGAGGTGTATTTAAAGAGTTGAAAACCAGTTCGCATTGCTCGGGCTTACAAAATTGTTTCAAAGAGTATAGTCGAGTTGGATATATGAAGGTTAAGCAGATAAGCTATCTCAATCAACCAATCAATGTTATAACTCAGGATACATTATTGAGTAAGTTATAAATCCATAGTTTTGGCATGACTTTTTACAAAAAACTAAGAGAAATATTCGGAATCTTCTCTGAGCTGGTAGTTGGCACTTATTATGTTGTTTAAAAATATATGATGGTTATATAATATTTCTATAAAATAAATAAAAATAAAATATGTATGTTTAAACAATCATGAATTTTAGTTGTAGAATTTATTTAAAGATGACCTAAAAACCATCAAGCAGAAGAATCATTTAGTTTCGATAAAGTTACGCGAATTTGATATAAAAATGTGGGAAGTGCATATTGAGAGACTCCGTTATTCTACAAATCTTTAAATAATATACAAAAAAAACTAAATGGTAAATAAAGCTTATGAACAAAAAGGCAACCCACATGATCAAAATGCCATCAAGCATCAAAATCAGTTCAGAAATTAAAATTAAAATTTGGGAAGATAATATAACAAAAATCTTAAAATAGAAATACCAAAAAAAAAACATTAAACGATTTCTTAACAAAAAATTAAATTTGGTTCATAAAGAAAAAGGCAACCCACGGGCTAAATATCATCAAGCATAATATACTTAAAAGAAGAATGGGTTAAGTTTGAATAAAGTTATGAGAAATTAAAATTTGGCAAATGCATTTATAAAAGATACCAATATTCTGCTAGGTATTTAAGCTAATGAACAAAAAGTCATGCCACATAGAAAATTGGTTTAGATTAGACACATTTATATATTTTCGAATTCCAGAAGGAGCTTAAGTATACAACAGTTAAACAGTTATATCTATAATAAAAACAAATGTTGCAACTGCAATATCAAAAAAGAAAGAACATTCAATATGTTCGATAGTTTTGCAGCAGTTGATAAAAAACCAACTTTGTTCACTTTGCTAAACAACAATTTGATTGTGCTAGCTGCACACAGTTTGTTAAACATTGCTAACCAAATCATTATGCCAATCAGCAAAGCAACTAAACAGCAACAACAACAACGACAACAACAACGACTTAAACAGCTGATACAACAACTAAGCCCTATAAATATGTGGCGTAAAAACGTTGCCACAATTTGCATGGTTCACTGGACGCTGAAATAACTTTGTTAAATGTTATTATGCGACGGTCAACAACAACTAAAACAACAACTAAAACAATAAAAGCAGTGCATGTAATAACAACGGAATTACACAACTCAATTACGAGTACATAAGTGCCCCAATATGTATATATATGTATATATATATATATATATAGGAACTGCGGCCCCGCTGTAAATAAGAGAAGGCGCCTTCTGGCCCGCCCTTTCCGCTCTATAGAGCCCGTAGAGCCCCATCAGCGGAGAGTGCATTTCTATTTTGGAGTAGTTTTTCATTAGAATTTTACGATGTAAATTGGCTTTTCATTTGGAATTGTGCGTGTCGTTAAAGCTGTTGTCGCCCCTGCCCCTGCTCCTGTCCCTGTCCCTGTCCCTGCCCCTGCCGTGCCTCTCGCATGGGGTCAACCGTGTGGGGCTCCCCACTTATCTATTTATTATTATGGCACACCACGCTCCACTGATTTATGTTAATTTGTTATGTCAGCTTTCCATAAATAAACATCGGTTTCAATTTTATTAAACTAATCTTTTATGTTCATATATTAATGTTTTTACATTTTCGATTCATTTCAGGCGTCACAATGCGCGAGAAAAAAGGCGGCGCCCTGCAGAAGCTCAAAAAGAGGCTATCGCACAGCTTCGGCAGATTAAGTGAGTACCAAGTTATCGATAAATGTAAACGATATTTTATATATACATATATATAACTAACCTTTGCCAAAAGGGCACTTTAAACTTTGTCCACCCACCACAAATATTTATTAATTTTTCCAAAAAAAAAAAAAGAGCGAGAACAAACTTGAAACAAAGGCAAAACTACAATAAATCAGCAACAAAAGCTAACCATAAATGGGCTACGAAAAATAAGAGAAAACAGAGCACAGTAAAAAAATTATATAAAATAGCTGACAACAGAAGCACAGACCATAGTTGTATGTGGGTGCAGTTGACGTACAATGGATAAATATATATATATAAAGATATATATGTATATGATTTTTACAATGGCTACATAAAGTTGAGCGTTGCATTGGGCAATGAGAAAATGTCGCGCATGAATCATGCACAATAATAATTCTCAAGCTAAAGTTGAGAAACTGCGCTTTGCCAAGCACTTGAGCGTAGCGAAGAATAGCTAATAAATCAGATGAAAAGATTACCTTGGATACAATATTAAAAGCCTCTTAGCTATGCAAATCGTTTGCCATTTGACATTGGCAGTAAGTGCATTAGCCTAATGCGAATAATGCTTATAAGGTATCTGGCCTTAAAAAATAGTGCTTCCTCTTTTTGAAATGCAATTATTTTCTTAGCTAACGAGCCCCAACTTAGGCTCAGAAGAGTGCATTTGCTTTTTCGTTTCCTCTTTGTGTCGCATTCGTAAGCATTGCACAGGCTGCGCTTGGATATGTTTGAAAAGGAAAGTGAGCATTTCTTAAAGGTTTATTAACATATAAATAAATTTCGGCTTATATATTTTGTATATTTTAATTACGATGAGCATATTAACGTTTTGTCGTTTGTTTTTCTGATTTTTGTAGAATTTTGAGACCAATTTTTGCATGCTTAAAGCAAATGATACATTTTTATAAGACCTTATAAAGAGTCTTTCCTTTATTTAAATGAAATTAGTAAAAAGTAGCGTAGAAGCCCAAACTTACGCTCAGAAGAGCGCTTTTGCTTTTGTCGTTTCCTCTTTGTGTCGCATTCGTAACCGGAGCACTGGCTGCGCTTGGTTATGCTTAAATTACATTAACAGCAAAAAAAGAGAGCATTGCTCTAAGTTCAAATAACATATTTATAAATTCCAATTCATATTATTTATATTATTATTATTTGGAGCATATTTACGCTTGATCTTTTCTGATGAGTTTTGTAGAATTTTTAGCTCAATTTTGGCCCGCTTTAAGCACTAAAGATTAAACGCAAATGAGAAACTGCTAAAACTTGAACGCAATTTGAAAACTTTATTAGCTTCGCAGCAAGCCATAAACTGGCTTCAAAAGTTATGACAAAGTTCTCGCCGACTGTGGAAATTTGAATCTAGTTGCGAAAGTTTTTGCGTTAAACACATTTGCTGCACGTGAAGCGCTTTGATAGACTCGCAAAATAAAAGTTTATAAAACCAATAGACAATATTAGACAACTGACGACTACGACTAACAAAAAAGAAAAATAGAAAACCAAAAACGGAAAACGGAAAAAAAATACGGTGAGAATATTTTGAAATTTGCCCGCAGTTATTCACGGAGCTGTCAAAGCTGCCAACGCTGCGTCAAAAACAATTCAAACACACCGAAACGCAATGGCATCAATGCCAATGGGGTTTAAAAAAAAACACAAACTGCTGGTCACAATGAAAACTGAAAACTGCGTTCGGTTTGAGAGCAATTGAAAATAGAGAGGGCGAAAAAAAAAATGGAAAACAAATGTTTGCAGCGAAACAACAGAACTGTCAATGTTGAGTCATTTGCCAAAGCATTTAATGGTCAAACATTTGGGAACTGCATTTTGGAGCAGCAGCTCCCACAGCCCCAGCCTCAGCCTCAGCCAGGCATCTGTCCATGTTAATTGAATGCAGCAGCTGAAACTGACTGTGACTGACAGTTGGACAGACAGACCCAGCGGCAGACAGACAGACAGACAGTCAGCCAAAACGGAAGATGAAATAAATGGAATATAATCCAAAGTGTGCACGCTAATACGCCTGTTGCCCCCATATGCAATCCACTCTGCGGTGCGCTATTTGGGCGCCTTTGTGGGGCGAACATTGTGCATTTGGCTTTTTCAAATTCCATAGTTCTTGTTTAAGTACCCTGCGTCCATTGAGAATGATTAGAACTGGGTATAATGTATGTCAGGCAGGCAGGAAATATCGCCAAACGAGTATGTAGTATATTTTTGATCAAGACAACGACTTAAGTCGATATAGCTTTGCTTGTCTGTCTGATCGCAGAGAATAGGAACAAACAGTGTTCGTAATTTAAACGGAAAGCAAGGTGCTATGATTTTGACAAGTTCTTTTAAATCGATATACATATATCGATTTTTCTAGATTTTTTCAACATACATACATATATCTGAAATATTTGACATTTCTGGCAAATACAAATTAAACAGATCTCACTTTCTAATCTCATGCTTCCACTATATTCCTGTTTTGGAAATCGATAAATATCGATTTTCCAATGAATATAAAATAGTCAATACTTCCATTTCACTTAAATCGATAAATATCGATAGTTTTCCATAGGAGCCGGAGAATAAACATTTGGTATTTGTGGCAAATACACATTGAACAGATTTCACTTTATAAATAAACTCTCCTATAACTTCAATTTTTATAAAATCGATAAATATCGATTTTCCCCTTAATGTTCTTATCTGAGACTATAATAAGCTGCAGAATCGTAATTTGACATTTCTGGCACATACGTATTGAACCGATTTCACTTTATAAATTCATGATACAATTACTTTTGTTTTCTTGAAATCGATAAATATCGATATTTTCCTAAGGTTCTTCAACAATTGTCTAAGTTCATAGGAGCTAGCGTATCAAAATGCGGCATATCTAGTGAATACAAGCTTAACAGATTTTATGTAATAGATTATTCTTTCACAATTTATATTTCCTTAAAATCGATAAATATCGAAATTTCTGGAAGCATAAAAGCTAGCTAGCAAAGTTGAGGCTGAGCTCAGAACTTGGGGTACCTTCGAGCTGTGTACAGGATATCGTCTAGTCGAGCAGCTTCGAGTTTTGTTTGCCTTTTCATGTCATGCTTGGTTGGGGCGCCACTGTGATACCGTATAGCGAATAGTTGTTGACTCACCAAACCCGTTTCGGGTTGCGGCATGCGGCTAATTGTCTCTCAACGCCCACAATCCCATGTTTTTGTTGCTCCTCTCGATATTCGCGTTTCAGAAACAAGTTTTAGCTTTGTCTTCAAAAAAAAACCGCTTTATGTGCAGAGCATTATGTGATCAAAGAGCCAAACAGCTGTTGCCCGGTCGCAATTGAAAGAGACAGAGACTGGGTTAGTCAGCTATTCGATACGATGATAATGGGCAGCATTAGATTAGTGTTCAGTGTGACCATATTTGGCACGAAAATTGTGTATTTCTGAATAGATATTGATTGCCTAATATGCGTGTGAGGGCCAGCTTTGAATAAAATTCAAGTTTGCTTGAATGGGGCAATAAAACTGGCCAGTTTTTCCAGGCAAGCCGGACATGTGAATGCCCTACACTTGATAATACTCCAATGGGATAAGGTTAATATATACAGCTGATATTTTATTTCACAGTAATCGAATAATTCTAGATTATATCCTGATTGGTGATATGCTTGAAAAATTTGGGCTTCAAGTTCTTAAGTTATATATTAACTGGAAGAGCAAGCGAACAATTGGGACTACGAGCTGTTCAAAAATATCAAAAAATATATTGGTAAATAAATAAAAAACTAACCAACTTTACACACAACAATTTTATATATATATTTCCCTGCTCAATCAAGCATTAAACTCAGCTCATTTACTCGCTAACTTCTGAAGCATTCAAAATGTTTCGCTTTGTGCCTGGCAAACTGCATGACAAAGTGCCTGGTAACCAATATTTAAGTTTAGCTCCCAGCAAAGTTGGCCAACTGCTGTTCAGCTTCGCTCGTCTGTCACTCACAAAACCAACAAATTGTCTGTATATACATATATTTATTTGAAAATTGCAATTTCTTTTTATGCAACGACAACTCTGCGCGGCAGCGCCGTGACAACTCTATACGCCCCTTCACCGCACAAACAGGCGAGTTCTTTTCCCCGAGCTGCGTTTTTGGCAATTTCATTGTTATTTTCCACACGATTTTGTCTGTGAATGCAGCTCATAAATTTTGCAATTGAGAAACTATTTTGTACTACTTTTTTCTCCCTCTCTCTCTCTCTTTGAAAGGGGCTGCTGGGGGCGGGGCAGCTGCAGCCAAGTCGCCAAGTTGCTGCAACTTAAATGTTTTCTTTGCATTATTGAACAGTTGCAGCAACAGCTGCGGATGCGACTTGCTGCAAAGCAAAGCACAAGCAAAGAATGTCACACAAGTTGCAAGCAACTTCCATTTGGCAACTATTGTTGCTGTCTCCCTCTCTCTCTCTCTAGCTCTTGCTCTGTCAAGGCTATTGCAGAAGCCACCGGCAACAGTTGCAGCAACTTTGTTGTTGTTGTTGTTGTTGTCAGAGCTGCGTTTAACTATCGTTAATTGCTATTAGTTGTTGTTGTTGTTGCTCTTGTTACTCTTGTTGCATTTGTTGATGTTGCTGCTGCTTCAATTTCAACGGGTTTTCTTTCCAATTATGTACAAGCCCGACAAGCTCAACTGCTTCATTCGCTGGCAATAATAAAAGTTATGAAGTCATAAGCAGACTCGTCAAGGGGGCGCTAGGAGGGGGGGCCACTGCTTGTCAGGCATTAAGTAAATTGCATTAAGCTGAGCTGCGTATAGCTAACTATCCCGCCCCGCCCCGCCCCGTCTCGTCGCCTCTCCGCCGCTATCCATTTGCTGGGCGCATCAAGTGTCGCTCACGATTCCCGCAACATAACCAGAACCTGAATCAAAAGTGTTGTCTGGACTCAGACTTTTCTGGCGTCGGGTTCTTGTT